TTAATGACTTACAGTGGTCTAATTTGTTCGTGATTCAGGTACAGCGGAATTTAAAACCTCTTAGCCTCCAATGGTGCTGCAGTATATTCATGTTCGGCACCATTGCCCATGTGGAGGGCTTCCCGGTTTTCTTCAAAGCATACCATGTAGATTCAGTGGTAATAGAAACAGGCTTCAATGGCCAGAACGTTGGTTTGGTTGAGGATAGATTCTCAGGATGATTTCGGTGAGCACCTGAAGCAGGAAATGACCTAGCACTGACAGGGAATTATCAGACATGCTTAAGATGTTGAGCTTTGGGGAGCAGTGCTTTGTAAACAGCCGGGGAGGTTTTACAACAGGCAAACTTGTGCTTGCTTGGTGCTGGCACTTAGGTGCAGCCACCCTGAATAGCTGATGTGGACATTAATCTGCATTCTCCGTTCCCCTCCTCCACAACTGAATAAGCCCTGTCCCACTAGAACGGCAGTTTTGTTGTTGTTTTTAATAAGCAATCCTACTTAAACTGATGCAAGCTTTGAGGAGCTCCACAGTTCTGTCTTCCCCCCATTTTTCCTTCATCTGCATTCCTTGTCCCAGGAAAATAGGAAGAGCAAGTCTGTTCTTGTCTCTAATTTTACACAGAGTGACACTGTAAATCGTCCATAGTGATGGAATTTTGTGTTTAAATGACTACTTATTTCCTCTCAGATCAAGGGATTATTTCTTATTGTGTTGCCCAGATACATTACAATCATGTTTCCATTCAACAGATGGTGACAATCAAACTATCGCAGGTGCTTTCCAGATTCCATGACTTTAGAAGTTCATGGAACAAACAAAGCCCCATCCACTACTAGAGGTCACCGTCTGGCAGGGAAATGTAGGTGGCAAATGGCTACAGGACTATTGATGTTATCAGGTCATGAAGATGTGCTATCAAGAAGTATAAACAAACGGGCTAACAAAAAAAAGACCCCAAATACCAAACTAGTTGCCCTTGAATCTGTCCTGATGTATGGTGACCCCAGGTGTGTCAGAGTAGATGAATACCCCATCAGGTTTTAAATAGCAGATCTTGAGAAGCAGATCACTGTACCTTTCTCCCAAGATGCCTCTGTGTAGACTCAAACTTTCAACCTTCTGATTGACATCTAAATAAGGTAACACTTTGCACCATGCAGAAAATGCACAGGGTAGACAGATGCCATTCTGATGAGAAGGCCAGTGAAGGGGAGATTTGTGAGCCCATGAGTCACGTGGACTGTAGGGTGATAAGATTCCAGGTGGGTAGGACTCATTCCCGTATACTGTTCCTGACCGTTAAGATCTTCTTTGAGCTGATGTGGCTTCTCCAAGCTCAATTCCCCACTCTCATCAAATCTTAAGTCATCACTCTCCTCTCCAGGAGTCCATGTGTGGTACAAACATTAACACTCATGGATTCTATGGGAATAGTCGAAGCAACAGTTTATCCAGAAGGGACTCGGAAGAAAGGCCTGGTTATCGACTTCTGAAAAAACAGCCACTGAAAAATCCAAGTCTACTCGGACACTCACGAGTTGAAATTGCTTCTTCAGCAATAATTGAATTGATCGGTGCCACTCCCTGCTGCACTGCCATCCTCGGTCCCTCTTCTGGTGTTTCTCTCCTAGGCCTTATCTCTCACATCATTGCTTTGGTAGTTGCTCAGATCTTAGTGCCCAGTTGTTTTCTAAATAATGCTGGACAGTATTTGCTTTAAAACCTCTAAACCAAATGTTGGGGTTACATGTTGGGGTGCTAACCTCAAAGCCAGCAGTACAATACCACCCTCTGTTCTGTGAGAGAAAGACCAGGGTGTCGGCTCCCATGAAGAGCTACAGTGTCAGAGACCCACTCAACTCACGAGTCTTGCTCTGAGTCGGCATCAATGCGATGGCAGGGACTTGAGTAGCATTTGCTTTTTGAGCTCTTACCTAATTGTTGGGTGCATCTCTTTAAGTCTCTCGGAGCCCTGGTAGCACAGTGGTTAGAGTGTTTGCTGCTGACCAAATAAATGATGACAGTCCTGACTCATCAGCCACTCCTCCAGAGGGAGACAAAACCATCTGCTTCCTTAGAGATGATGGCCTTGGAAACCCTCTAGGATGGTCCTGCTTTGCCCTATAGGGTTACTGTGAGTTGAAATGGATTTGATGACAAAGGGTCCCTGGGGTTATTGGCTAATCATTGAACAGCTGCTATGTGCCCCAAATGCCATTTGGGTTGTTCTTTTCAGTCGTCCCAAGAGTTGGCATTTTGCAAACGAAAGCAGGCCCATTTTTCAAATTAAAACCCCAAGGGTCCTAGGAGAGAGGGGGTTAATGACCTACCCAAGGTCACTCTGCAGGTAAAGCTGAGGGCCCTTGATTGGCCCCAAAGTTGATGGGGTTCTGAGCTTTGCAGTCTTGCCCTGTTCTGAGTGCCTGATAGAAACGCCATGAGCTAAACTGAGCCTCACACAAACAAAACAAGGAGAGGGCGGGGGCCCAAGGACAATTCATGCTTTCTGTTGGTTGGTAACACAGCTATTTTTCTCTCTGGAAGCAAGAGATGAAAGTTCTGATATTCAAATGCTCACCCACCAGGCACCCTTCAGAATTCCCATCCATCAGCTGGCAAATGGACATATTTTAATGAGCACAATCTCAACCAAGCAAGTTCTGGCAACAAAATATGCCTCCACTAATGATATTCAATTGTTCTAAGAAGACAAAATGGTCTGAAGCGTAATGAGATGCCAAACACACAAACACACAAAACAGGCTGCTCATATTTAAGTCCTTATGTTTCTTGAAGTGAAAACTCATTTTAAGAAGATTATGGTGCATATATTATAAAATGGGATGATATTCCACATTCATGCCCCACTGGGGCCTTGACTGTATTAAAAAAAAAGAAGAAAGAAAGCAAAACCAACAACAACATTTTGTTCCCATACAAGTGTTTTGATAATAGGACATGTGATGTGGAAGCCATTTGTTTGGGTTATTTTTATTGTAAGCTTTCTGAATGCATTCACTTTTTTTGATAGGCACTGTGTTCAGGCAATTTTTTATCCAGGCCCCTGAGAATGAAAATACGCTAGAATCAAAGGCCAGAGGGTCAGGGCATAGGATAGAATGGTGAGGGAGAGGGAGGGAGAGGGAGAGAGGGAGAGAGAGAGAGAGAGACAGAGACAGAGAGACAGAGAGAGAGAAGTAAATTTTGGTCTGGCAACCGAGGAGCCAAGTGTCCCTCCACCTTCTGGTCAGAACAAAGCAGCTTTACTGAGGCAGTCAGCACATTCTTATCCTTGACCCAGGGCTATTCAGTTTGTAATCAGCGGCAAAGAGGCCTGCTTTTCAAACATTTTATTATAAGCAAACGCCTTTGTTCTGATGCAATCCCACAGAGAATTGTAAACAAATACAGAAATAATGTGGCTGGAGGGGGAGTTTTCCAAACAATTCAGGTCCCCTTTCTCTCTTTTTCTTAGCAAGAGCCCAAAAGGGCTTTGGAAACCTCCATGTTCCAAGATAGACAGTGTGAGAATCACTGATTTAGGTAAAGTGAGAGATTGAGGTGTCTAACAAAGAATGAGAAAACAAAGGATGAGATCAGCCTGAAAAAAAAAGGAAAACACTCTACACACTTCAAAGAGAGGGAGCCATTTAGGAGTGGCTATTTCTAGGAGTAGAAAAAATGGGAAAGGTGAGGTAACCCAGAAATTAATAAATGTAGAAAACTTTCATCCCATTTAGGGCTGGTGAAAGGGAAGGGAAGATAATGTCCAACTAGAGCCCAAGGGTTTGGAGAAAGGCCATATTGTCCACGTTGGATCCAAGAAGAGATGTCTCCTGGCTGAAGCCAACCAAGGTCTCAGGAACTCCCAGCGATGCCACTGATGGTAGAAGAAAAGAAAGCAAGGAAGCAGTGCTGCTCGTCTTATTCCAGCTGGCTGACCCCACCCACACCCCTGCTGGTTAAACCCATTGAGAAGCCCAGTGGTAAAACTGAAGCCTCGTATATACCCTTCTCTTGATGGCATAGAGGGTTACTTGTGAGGCTGCTAACCACAAGATTAGTAGTTTGAGCCCACCAACTGCTCCTTGGGAGAAATAAGAGGCTTTCCACTCCTGTAGAGATTTGCAGCTCAGTAACCCATCAAGTCATTTCTACTCTATCCTACTGGGAGGCTATGGGTCAGAATTGATTCCATTCCAGTGATGTTTTTTTGACCACACATATACCATCTTATTGTACTCTGGTGGCTTGCATGTTGCTATGGTACCAGAAGATAAGCCACCAGCATTTCAAATACTAGCAGGCTCAGCCGTGGTGAGCAAGTGTAGTGAAGCTTTCTGACGAAGACAGACTAGGCTAAAAGTACTAGCCAGCTCCTTCCAGATTAATCAACCCAAACTTGATGGATCACAGAAATTTGTCTGAGATTTTGACCCACTCATTTTGGATTTATGACCAGAAGGCACCTATCCCTGGAGCAAAAACATAGTGTTTGGTAACGTGGAAGGCCAGTGAAGATGTAGGACTCTCTCATGATAGAGAAGATGGCACATCTCAAGCAGTATCCCATCCTATGAGACAGTGGCTTACTACGAGTTAGCGCTGATTCAACAGCAACTAACAGCAAATACAGCCTTCTTACTCATGCTTACACTTCCTATACCACAATTATAATAAATCCATGCTTCCATTTAATAAGACGTTATCCTCCTTGAAACATAGGATATTGATCACTTTTTCTTCCAAAAGGAAGGCAGCAAGTTTCATGAATCAACCGCAGCATCTATCTCTGAATGACATTAGTTCCTGTTCCGTCAGTTACAAACCTATGTTACCTGGGGGATGAATTAAAGTTAACCAATACATGCTTTCTTCATAATCAATAATATTGCTAATGAGGAGGAGACAATTAGAGTATGTGTGTACACATGTGTGTAAATAAATTGCTCTAGTTACTTCTTCTAGTGTTGTTAAACCACAAAAAATCCAATCTTATCCTTACCTGGCAGGGGAGATTCTATGATCACAAAAGTGGTTTTCCCAGGGCGAGGCTCCCCCATGGCACTCAGGATGTGCCAACCCCTGTGACTTCCCCAAACGTGGGGAATTGACTGCAGAATCTGGGGCAGTGGGGTCTGTGTTCACGCTCTCCCCTGGGGGCGAGGGGCCAGGTTCCAATCTTACTGCCATCGAGTCAATGATGCCTCACAGTGATCCTATAGGACAGGGTAGAACGGCCCCTGTGGGGTTCTGGGACTGTAATTGTTAAGGGGCATTGAAAGCCCCATCTTTCTCCTTCTGAACAGGCGGTGGTCTTGAACAACTTTGCAGATCACACTGCAATGCATAACCATTATGCAAACAGGCCTTAAAGCTTATTGCTGTTCGGTGCCATCACGTTGGTTGCAACTCATAGGGACCCTAGGTACAATAGAACAAAACACCGCCTGGTCTTGTGCCACCCAGGCCATTCTTGAACTATTTCTTATGTTTGAGCCCATCGATGCAGTCAGTGTGTCAATCCATCTAGTCTAAGTTCTTCTTTTCTTTCGCTGCCCCTCTGTTTTACCAAGTATGACGTCCTCCTCCAGGGACTGCTCTCTCCTGACAACACGCCCAACGTATACGAGGGGAAGTCTCCGTTGTCATCCTGCATTGAGCATTGGCCGAAGTGGCCCCGCAGCATCCGGAGCATACACTATGACCCGGAGCCGCTTCAGAACCTACTCACCCCGGCAAGATGTTTGTTATTCACCAAGTGCTGGGACAGGACACTCAAAGGAAGCCTGTGTTGCCTCAAAAATAGAAAGAAGTCAAATGAGAGTTGAGTTAATTTTTTAGTGGGTTGCATGTGAAAGAATAAACTTAAGTGGACTCTTAGAAATGTCACCGCAGGGTCAGGTCCATACATTTATCTGGGACTTATCTCCTCATTAGTAGCCGCATGCAAATTGTAGGTACTGTGACCTTTATTCTTTTTTTGGCTGCTTCTTAGAGCTTCTCTTTTGGCCTTTGGTTTTCAGAGATTTTATCATGATATACGTATGTGCATTTTCCTTGTATTTTTCTTATTTATGATTTTTGAGCATATTTTTGAATCAGTGGCTTCAAGCTTTTCATAATTTATGGCTATTGTATTTGTGTGTCTCTGCCTCCCTCTCACTTAAGTCTCTGTGCGCATTATAGTTCGACAGGGTAAGGATGGCATGGAGGCGCCCTCCCCTTGTCTGAAGGCACTCGGCTCTCGGGCTTCGTGGGGCCAGCAGCCCCACAGTTCAGGCTAGGGCGCTGGCTCTTGGTTTTGTTGTTGCCACTTCTGTGGTGTGTTAGGTTTCTCTGTCCCTGGATCAAGGAAGGCCGGTGAACAGAAAGCCGTACTCCTGGCTTTTCTTCTCAATGCGAGGAATACCCCACTTTATGCTTCTTAGGTGTTCCATTTTCTACCCACCAGGGGTGCGCAATTGACCAGTCCCCGCTTCTCAGCTTTTTGTCAACCACAATTGACCCTATGTACACTCGCTCAGAGCTGGATCACATTATCGTATCAGAAACTTCCCCACCCTTCTGCTGCCCAGACACGTAGGGGAAGGAGGAAATACACACAATCTGCATGATCCCACCCAGTGTTTTGTGGAGAGTTACAAAGACTATGGCTAGAAGAATCATATCGAATAAATCACTGCACCACATACATGTATTATGTTTCTTAGCCGTGTCCCGATTCTTAATACCTCTTTACTATTCCCATTAGCTTTTCTGAGTGCTTCTATTATCTTCTCCTAATATGACTTCCACTTCTTCTCCTCAGTGGTGGTCCAGCTACTATGAACCTGACCTACTGAGTTCTTAATCTCAGGTACTATTAATTTCAATTCCAGAATTTCCATTTTCTTATTTTCATAGCTTCTAATCTATGCTGAAAATTTCCATGGATTACCTATTAAATTTACTAATTATATCTATTTTAATGTCTATGTCTGATAACTCCAATGTCTCAAACAACTGTGGACTATTTTGTCTGTTTTTAGTTTTTATCCCCCCCCCCCTTTTTTTTTGCCTTTTTAATGACTGGTAACATTTTATGGTGTGATGAACATTAAAAAAAATTTAATATTGTAGATTAGATAATCTACATAGTGTTATGAACAAACCTTACTTTTTCCAGGTAGAAAAAAATGAGAGCAGGTCACCTCAACATGACCCATAATGATACTGATGCAAAGCTGGAGACCTAATTTTGGAAATCTTGCCATGCCTTTTATTTGCCTCCATTCGGATCTATAATTCAGGATTCTCAACTGATCCCTAGGGCAATTGTCAGAAAGGCCTTTCTTTGGAAGGAAAGCGAGTCTGTTTTCCTCCACGGAACAACTACATTATTGAGTTTTCCACTGAGATTTCTGTGTGATCATTACATGTCACACAATCATCACTCCCCTCTGGGGTTGGGGGGGAGCTTATACGTAGCTAGTTGCCAAACAGATTTCATTGTATCTTCCAGATTAAGATGGACTAGGAAGAATAACTTGATGATCTTCTTAAAAATCACAGTGATCATAATAGCCAAATTATCAACTGATCATGAGGCTGGGGTAGCATCCGACAGTGATTTGTTCCATGGCAAATGGTGTCTTCATGTGTTAGGGTTGGCATGAAGGCAGCTAACAACAACGGTCTATCCACACAAAGTAACTCTGAAAGAAATCTGTCAGAGTACAAAAGTTACAAAACAGAAGATTCACAATTCGTATATTTAAAGACAGACAACATTTTTATCCAGAAAATATAAAGAGCTCAAACGGTCTAAAGAGACTAATAACTTAATTAGAAATGTGCAAAGATTGAATTGAAAAGACCTCAAAAAGAAGATGTATGAGTGACCAATCACATATGAAATGATGTTAGACATTCTTGTCAACAAGGAAATAAAAACTTATACCTCCAAACATAGCACTTACTACCTTACTGCTGCTGGTTGGGAATATGACGTGGTAGAATGAGTGAAATTAAGCAACAGCAAAAACCATCCTGATAATAGCACAGGATAGAGAACAACTGGAGCACTCATTCACTGATGCAGAAAACGTCAAATGTTATAACCATACTGGACAACAGTTCCGAAATTTCTCATAAGGTAATCCCTTTACTATATCATCATACAGTTTCCTCAGCCACATCTTGGTATTTTTCCAGGAGAAATTAAAACGTACCCATAAGACAACACACGTATATTCATGGCAACTTTACTTATAAGAACTCATTTATAATTAAATAGAAAAACAAATTGTGGAGTATCCATTCAATGGAACACCCACTCAACAGTGAAAAACTCATAATAAGTCTGGTAACACATAGAAAACTTGTAGGCAAAAGAAATAATCTAAAAAATAAATCCACAAATAAAAAACAAACCACAATCTCACTGTCATTCTAATCATAGAGACCTGTACGATACAGTAGAACTGCCCTTTTGTGTTTATAAGTCTGAAAATCTTTGTAAGAGTAGAAAACCTCAGCTTCCTCCCTTGGAGTAACCAGTAAGTTTGAACTGCTGATCCAGAAATTAATAGCTCAACATGCAACCCACTAGATCCCCAGAGCTCCCCAAAGAAGCCAGGTACCCCCCAAAAATGTATTTTTTGTGTGAAATATTTATATAAAATATTGGAAAGACAATGTAAAACTTAATAACAAAAATAAAATCTATGGTTGTCTAGGATCAGAAATAAGAGATGAGAATTGATTGGAAAGAGGCACAAGAAAAATTTTAGGTTACAAAATTGTTTAGGGTTACAAAATTGTTCTTGATCATGTATGTCATCATGGCTATATAAATGCAGATATTTCTCAAAATTCAATGTTGTACATATTTGTTATGTATGCTACATATTTACTTATTTTATGTTAGAAAAAGTTCACTTCAATAAAATTGGTTTTCTTTCTTTTTTCCTTATGTTGGAAATGAATGTGTTTGTCACTAAAATTTACAAGGCCAGTTTTCCGTTTTCTTCTTCTTCTTTTTCTTAATTTTAGCCACTCACACCAATATTTAGCTCCAAGGGTTAAGGAATCTGGAGGGATTTTTTTCCTTTTGTTTTTTTGGTTCTATTAGCTTTATTTTCTAAAACAGTTTTATTGATACTTCATCCACATTCCATACAATCCAATAGTTTGATCATATCTGGAAGAGTTGTCCAATCATTACTACAAACACATTCAATTTTTCATTGTTGAACATTTTCTTCTTCCTGTACTCATTCATATACTTATTTTTTTTAATCATGACAAAAATATACACAACAAAACTTTGTCCAATTCAACAACTCTGCATGTGTAATTCAGTGTCTTTGATTATACTTTGTGTTATACAACCATTATTGATATACTTTTCCCAATTGTTCTGCCACCATGAACATAAACTCAATATGCCCTAAGTAACAACTCCTCCTCCTCCACTTGGTCAAGTTTTTATTTATTTTTTAATTTAATATTTTTCTTGATTTAATATTCACATATTGTACACTTAATTTTAAGTACTCAAATTGTTTTTGAAAAATAATTGTAAATACCTCATAACGATCAGTTCTTGTGCTCCCTCCCCCTCCTGCATTCATTGTTTACTTCCCAATTCCTCTCACCCTCCCGACCCCACTCCCTGTCTCCAATAAATCATTGCATCCTTTTTATGCATCCACTTCTTTTGTGCTTGGATTTTTCCCTTAAAAATCACACTATATATGGTTCCACAGCCAATTTCAACATATTAAACGAGCAACAATATCCCCATTAAGCCTTCTATGAATGTGGTTCTCTTTCTCCCCACTCCCTCAATCTTTCCTCTCTTCTTCTTCAATATCCATCCTAACTCTCTTCTCTCCTTGTTTCCTACCAGCTTCCCTGGCCTTTTCATCATCAAAGTCTTCTCTTTTTGGGTAAAAAACACATTTTTTTCTTTGTTTTCCCTTATAATAATGATGTTATTAAATATTTATCTTTTAAGATTGATGAAGTTTGCTAAGCATAATGTTCTCTAGTTTTGTAGTGTTTAAGAGAGTTGACATTTTTTAAAATTAATGCATAATATTCCATTGTATGAATATGCCAACCTTGTTTATCCATTCCTCTAAAATTGGATTTCTAGTTTGTTTCCATGTTT